CGGCGGCGGAGGATGGCGCGCGCGGGGCCCGCACGTGGAGGCCGGCGCGGGGGCGCGGGCAGGGCCGGCTGCTGAGACGCGCTGCTGCCCCCCGCGCGGGCGCCGCGGCTTCAATGGCGCCATCGCCCAGGACCGGCAGCCGGCAAGATGCGACCGCGCTCCCCAGCATGTCCTCAACTTTTTGGGCGTTCATGATCCTGGCCAGCCTGCTCATCGCCTACTGCAGTGAGTACCGCGCGGCCCGGCCCCGGCCCGGCCCTCGGCCCGGACCCCCGCCCCTGCCCCGCCGCGCGCCCCGCGGGCCTCCCGGAGCCGGCTGGAGCGGAGTTGCGAGCGCGGGGCGCGCGGTCCCCCGGGTCCCGGCGGGGTTCCCTCCGCGGCGCCGGGGAGCGAGGGTCCTCCGGGCTCCTGGGGTCGGACGCCCCTGCCCGAGCCGCCCTCCGTCCCCGACTCCCCGGCAGGGCCCCGGCTCCAGGCCCCGGTGGCGCGGCCCGTCCCTGCCCGGCGTGCGTTCGCGGCTGCTCCCGGCCCAGGCCCGCGGGTTCCCGGCGGGGCCGCGCGCTCGGGAGGGAGGCGGCGGCAGGTGCGGCCGGGGTGTCGGGGGAGCGTCCCCCGGTGCCTCCCGCCCGCAGCCTCCGGCCCGGGACGGGGGGGTCGCGGCGGCGGAGCCGGGAGAGGGGCGCCTCAGGCTCGGAGGGGCGGCCGCAGCTTCCGCCTTCCCGGGCAGCGGCTCGTCAGGCGCTTTCCGGAAGAGCCGACAAGTGAGGGTGGGATGCCCGGAGGGGTCGCCGCGGCCGCCGGCCGGTCTGGGGTCGTGTCTGGGGCTCGAGCTGGGGACCCACGGGGCGGGCGCGGGCCGGTGGGCGCCCGGGGGTCCGCGGGGGGCTGGCCGGGGGGGAGGCGGCCGCGGGCTCCCGTGGCCTGGGGGGTGGGGGCGGCCTGTGTCCCCGCCGAGGCTCCGCGCCGGGGGAAGGACCGGCGGATGGAGTCCCGGGTGCAGACTCCGGGCTCGGCCCTGGGGAGGGAGCTCAGCATCCCGGGGCACGTTCGCAGCTGCTGGGGCGCGTGGGGGCTGCTCGGCGTCGGCTCCGGGAGCCCCAGGCGTCTCGTCTTCAGCGGGAGAAAAGGACGGGTGCTGGGGAACACCTGCCATGGAGAATTGCCACGGGCGCGGGAGGTGATGGAAAAATATGGATTCTTTACAAAAAAAAAAAAAAAAAAAACATGAAAAGGCCAGCACCAAAGCTCCCTCCAGACACCAGCTCCCCCAGAGCCGCGGGCCTCCAAGCTCCCAGTCCCATCCCGTCCTTCCACTGTCGCCTAAATGACACGGCGGGCCCGGGAGACCGCGGGGTCGGAGTCCTGGGACAGCCCAGCCCGCCGGGCTCGCGAGGGAAACCCGGACCCCAGATCGGGAATTGTCCGACTTGTTTCCGCAGGGGACCTGCACCTCCCTGTGGCATTATTGTGGCACCGCGCGGGAGGGGTCTCCAAGCCTGGAGCTTCACAGCAAACAGGGGTCGTAACCCGAGCTGCCCAGGCAGGCCAGGCCACCGTGGGTGCGCCGGCGCCCCTGGGAACCCACTGGCCGCAGGGAGCAGGGTCTGGGGGTTTCCGAGACATTTGTGCCTGTCCCTGAGGTCTCCGCGGCCATCACGGGGCCTGCAGGCGTTCGTGGGGGGATTCCCTAGCAGAACCCCACGCAAGGCTTCCTAGAAGACAGAGAAAGGATTAATGGCAGGTCAACTGTCCTGAAGAGGAGGCATTTGAATGCACTTCCTCATTCAGCAGTGTGTGGCCAAGGGCTGTAGTGCCCTGAGCCCGCTGCAGGCTGCCCATCCCTGGCTGGCTTCTAGAACCCAGGACAACAGCCCCCCGCCCTCCGCCAACCCCCAGCAGCCCAGCAGGTGTAGAAAAGAACATCTGCTAATTGTTGCTAAGTACTTGACACCAGGGCTCGGTGGCTTCAACACTGCACTTCCCCAGCCGGCGAGGAGCTGGGTACACACTGTCTCCTGTCTCCCTACACGCGGTGTCAGCGTTCTCCCACCCCGCGCTGCAGCCCGAATCCCAAGGTGTTAGCATGTTGTTCATGCAGACGGCTGGCACCTTCCCGTGACTGTCGCCCGCTCTGCTGAGTGGAGTCCCAGTGTCCCGGTGCAGACATCTGAGCCTGCTGCCCAGACACTCGGAGGACAGGAGATCCAGTTTCCACACTCATCCCTCCCTAGGAGGCCTCCCCAGTGTTCGGGAAACAGCCCTTGTCCGGGGCAAGGACAGTCCGTAAGAAGGTCTTAGCAGAAGAACAGAAATAATTAAAAACAGAAGCTTGGGTGAGGCACATTTTTATGGCTGTTTGCATCTCCATGTAATGGAATAATTGACAATAAGAGACACACCCCATTACACCAGAAATGTACTTGGAGAAATTAAAACATTGCATTAAAATACAAAATAGACATAATAATAATTTATAGCTTGGAACTGCAGTCCTAGAGAAAAAAAAAACACCCCCACTTTTTTTTTTAGAACGGATAAAGCAAATTAAATGCGAATTAAACAGTTCCTATGATTTTCATTCTTCCAGTATATCTGGGATGAAGAAGAATAGTTCGTATCCTTGTTTGTAAATTGTTCTTGTTATCAGTAAGGATTTTTATCATTCAAAATGTCTTTGTGTTATGAAGCAGATGTATTCGAATCGTATTAATTAGGGAAACTGGTAAGTGTCATACAGGGCTCAATTATCCTGCCTGTTAAATCTGTGTGTTTCTCTGCAGCACACAAGGTGTTGGCTTCCTGGCGCAGCTAAGAGGAAACTGGATTCTTTCTTGGCCTGGTTTTCTGTTGGGGGGACTCTGCCGCTCCCAGCCCAGCGAGAGTCCGGCCTTTCTCTCCCCTGTGCTGGGATCCGTACGGAAGGAGATGAGCCCCACCGCCTGGCTGGAGAAAGACCTGCAGTCCACCATTGGGCCAGTTGCTATAGTGACACAGCCTTGTCATTTTCTCCTCCTGGGAAAGAATTGCCAGGAGACGCAAACAGGGGAAGGGGCCCCGCGTGACTCACTTTGACATGCATGCTTGGTGGTCTGCGTCCATCACGGTGACAGCAGGCTTGCTTTCTTCCGCGGCCGAGGCTGCCCGTGGGGGCTGCATGCTTGGTAATGAGTTGACTTGTGTGGTGAGGAGCTCGATTCGGATCTGAGGAAGCCCCTCTGGGTGTGGCTTAAAGAGTTGGTGTAGGTTGTTTTCCCCGTAGCCTATTGGGAATAGAGAGGTCTGTCTGCCTCGGTAGGTTCTTGCCTGGATGTGGAATGGGACCTCTTGACCCAACTAGAGCTGGTTGAGGGTGTTCTGTGCCCGCCACTGAGGTGTGATCTTTCCCCCTGGCATTTAGGACAGAACAGCAGCCAGGCAGAGAAGCAAATGGTGGCCTGGTGCCGTGTCCTACGCCACCTAATCCCTGACTCCATCTTTGTGTGAGGTACTGAAATCAAAGCAAAGGACACTGCGCACCAGCCTAGATGCCACGCGCCCTATTCAGTAAATCCCATCAACATGGAGTTGTCCCTTCCAGCTAAACGTCATGCCTTCAGCTGCAGCGATGAGAAGAAATTACAAACGACTTTGGAATTGTTTTTGATCCATTAGAATCCTAACCGAGCAGGCACTCTGGTGTTGCATTTTCTTTATAAATACAATTCAGTGCATATTTAGGAGCAATTAGAATATGCTACTTTCCTGCTGTTCAGATTTTGTTCTGGAGTTCGAGAAGAGGTAAAATGGAAAATACTGGGGGCTTAATGAAGTGATGCCACTTGGAAGTTTATTTCTCATCTTTTTTTTTTTTTTTAATTCTTACTGTGTTTTTATTTGATGAATTTGGGGCACAAAAAGATGGGTTGTTTGTTTCTGCCGGCTGCATAAATATAAATGATCTGACTTCGGGATTTCTTTTAGCCGACATCCTTGCCCTAGGATCAGTCAGGAGGAGGCAGGTTTGCCCCATGAAGGATTTTCGCAGGCAGGGATGCCTGAGGGAGGGGACTTCCCAGCTGGTCCACTCTAGACAGTGCCCTGGAGAGCAGCACTGACTCCTGTCAGGGAATCCTGGCGGTGCCCCACTGTCGCCTCCCCACACCCCACCCCTGCTCTTCCACTGATATAGAACCAGAAGGGGGGTCTGCACTGTTCCACGGTCCACACTGGTGTCACACTCCCACCTGCACTCATTCTGCTGGACTTCCCTGAGGCCAGAGGACACTTGAACCCGAGAAGGGGGCTCTGCTCTGTGGCTCTGTTTTCTGCCCCCAGCTAAGTGTTGCCCCAGAGTTCTGAGCTCAGGATCTGCCATGCGACATGCTTGGAATGAAATACGTAGATCAACTTTTGTGGCATGAAGTATTTTCAGGTGACTTTTATGGGCGTAATTATGGGAAAATGTTATGATAATGTGGCACTAGGAAAGGGAAGAAAAGCAAAACATTAAAATCCCCATTTCTTTATATAGCATCGCATCTGCGCCAGTGTAGAAGGGCTCATTTTTGCATTAAAATGTGGCGCTCTGGAGTTAATGACCTCTGCAGATTGCCACCTGTCGCCCAGGGCACTGTCAGTGACGGTCCAGCCCCAGCGTTCAGGGAGGAGATGGACAAGGAGGGCCGGGATCTGATCAGGTGGCTGGAGTGAGCACTGGGGTGTGGAGAGCCCCGTAGATTGATGACTGTTTATTTGGGAAAGTGTCATGGAGG